AATCAGAACATTAAGACCATGAATACAGCTGCCAGTAATTAGGTCGTCTTTTTCATTAAAAGAAGTAAAAATTCAACAGTAGACAAGTGTTTAACATTCTGAAACATTCGGCATTTGGAAGGCAGAACTGTAAAGTAGTGAAGTCAACTCTAAAATTCATTTGTGAGAACTGATTCACAAAACTAACAGTTTATTAAAAAAAATCCATTTGTTTGACTTGTTTCAAGTTTAGTGTCAAAAGAATGCATTCTAGAAAAGTAACGATCACTAAATTTGGTATCACTAAAACTAGTATTTACCTCTTTTACATTAGCATCATCAAACAGCACCCATTTGCAACTCTTGGTGTGAAAGGCAAAGGCACAGTAATGTCGGCTCGTGTAGCAAATCATTCCCACAAGAAAAAGTTCACTATTTTTGGCATTTTCATCTGTAACCCTATAAAATAGCTGTAAAAATGGTTATACTTTAAAATATATTGAAAACATTTAGCCTCAATTTTCAGACCTACTAGCATTTTACCAGTGCAACTGATATTAAATATCCCTGTACAATTTTTCATGAGTATAAATAATGATTTTTACACTTAGGTCTATTTTGACATTTATTGTTGCATAACTGAAAGAGTAACACTCTTATATAATGCTCTAGAATAATTCCACAAATTTCAAATGGAACATGATATTCCTATATTTTCAACTAGGAATTCACCTATTCATCTGTGTACTTAGGCACAAAATCAACACTTCCGACAGGACTTTTTCCTCTCACAGAAACTACATCAAGCAGAACATCATAAAGAATAGTAAAAGTAGACAAACTTTGAAGTTAAATTGTGCTTTTTAAAAAAATACATATGTGTGTATATATATATTTATATTTTGTATATGTTTGCATATACATAAAATACATGTAAAATTAAATTCTAGACTAAGCAAGTAGTAAGTTTTAGGTCAGATACCCCAGGAAGATAAAGTTGTGTTGCCAGATTCCGCACAACCTCTTCTGTCAGGTCAGAGTGTTCTGAATCCCAGACTAAACCAATAGTGACAATCTCAGGACAATTCATAAGAACACGACGAATTTTTATTTTTTGACCACAGTTACTCTAGAAAAAGGAAAAAATGTGATAGGAGGGAAAACAAAGATGTTTAAAAGTGGAAGTCCAAAGTTGTGTTACTAGACAAGAAATAGTGCAACAAAACAACTCTGCAATTTCTTCTAATTGTCAAATTCAGTTATGGTGTTTTGTTTCTAACAATTTAAGGATAAAATTCTTCTTTATAAAAACACACTGATGAAGACTATGGCTAAACTTCTACATCCAATCACCACCTTAAAACAGAAATCTCTGAACACATCCAAGTCACCATCATGATTTCTCTTTTGCTCCCCCTCCATTAAGCTTAGGTCTACATGTTCTTGTGTGCTTTTCTATGGTTCCTAAATTAACAGTATTTACACAGAACCATTTAAGGAAGAGAGGAATTAAACAGAACAAGCTAAAAGAGACTATTTTTGTCAATAGAAGCACAAAATTATTCCAATAGAAGACAACGTTGTCAAGCTGTCAGTGTGTATGAACTAAAGCACCTTACCTGTTCCAGCTAATTAACACCACCTAGCTCTGTGTGCAACATGAAGTGAAGAAAAAAAACACGGACCTAACAACATGACTTTCTAAACAGGCCACTTGCATCTACAATAGCATGTTTATTATAAATGGAACAATAAAATATAAATTCAAGGACATTTTACCCTCAATTAGACTGCGCCGAAGTGGTCACAGATAATCTTGCTTTTAGGGAAATACTTTAGCCAGATTTAATATCCTAAAAAGTTCTCCCTTGTATCTTAAAGCAATGCAACATCTTTGTTCACTTACAGGACACTTTCTGTAGTCATCAGTAGTATTTGCTGCCTGCAACAATTCTGCAAACATTTCTGGCTTGAGACGTTCATGCCTCTCCATCATTCTTTCTACTTCATTACTGTAAAAAATAAATGGAAATAACTGTGGATTTCCCTTCTTAAGGGTTAACAGATTTTATTCAACTCTCAACTAACTATATCTTATGACCAAGAAGAAAAGAAACAGAAGTAAAACAGTAGCAATACATACTTTTTGTCAAGCTCTCTCTACATCTTGCTTTTGAAATCCAAATGTTAGTTTTGGACAGTATCTCAAAACCACATTTTAACAAAGGAATATACATTCATTTTTAACACTTACAGCACTTCTCTGGCATGCTTTGCTTCTATTGGAAGGGTGTATATAAAAAAAATGAGATACAAGAATAAAAGTTCTTACCACAGGGCTGTGGTAGAAATATAACGCACAAATTCCGTAAAAGGCAATGGGTCTGATGATGCTCCACAACTGCGACATACACACTACAAAAATAAAAACACTTTTGTTTTTATTTACTCAGGACAGTGGAAACAAATTATTTGTTAAAGCAATCAAATAAAGGTCTGACCTGTTCATACAGTGTCATAGCAAACTTCTGATGAGAAATACAGGATTTTGAAGTGCACATATCTGTTTCACTGTTTGGCACTAGGTGAAAATGAATCCTCTCAAGGATATTTTCCTAAATAGAAATAATAAAGTAAATATAAATTGAACCGATGAGGTCAGAATATATCAGAGCAACATTACAGTTTAACACTCCAACTACTCCCCCCTTGACTCCAAATAATCCAGCTACAAGTTTAACGTCTATTTAATTCCATCTCTATTTACAGCCCAGGGGATGGAAATTATCTTCATCTCAAGCTTTCCAACCATTAACAAAACAGCATTAGACAACAGTTACATTGCATTCAATGACCGAAATATTTTTTTTGGATCAGGCCTCTGTCTCAGTAGTTCTTCATATTTTTATGTTTTTCTCTGCATATCAATCTGACTCATCTGATGATGTTTAGCACATGCACCAACACAAACAGAAGCATTGAGAAAGCTCATAAATAGCACATGCCTGATCCCAGCCCAAGTCTCACTTTTTAACCTTAAAAGAAAGGAAAAGGAAAAGAGAAAAAACAGTACTACGACTGTCATCAGTTTGGCCCCTGAATGAGCATGGCCATTTTTCCCTCTTTTGCCAAAAATATCAGAAGTAATGGGAAGAAGTTAATCTATTCAGGTAGATCATTCAGACAGCTGATTACTTTAGGGGTCCAAATGCATTTTGATTAGATGGAGCGCTAATGAGAGATTCTCTTTCATGACTGCAATCCATTAACCTGACTGACTGCAAGATCTCAAACAGTTGCTTTCAGGATTTCTCCACTGGATTTTCCTATGTACGTGAAAATGCATCTGACAGGTAGGTATTCATTTGTGGATACTTCCAAAGGATGTCCAAAGCTGAAAGTAATCAAAGCAGCAACCATATTTTCTGTCCCTCAAATCTGTATCTGAAGACTAATACCGATTTATTTTTTTTATGGCAACCAATTTTGATTTTCTAATACAGGACTTCTTAGAAAGGCTTCTTTACCCATGTTCTATGCGATCTTGAGTCATCTTTTATGGCCACAGTAGTGGCTCATGTTTTTTAATGAGACACTTCATAAAAGCAGAAAGTAACTGCAGCCAGAGTCAAGATCTTCAAGTATTCATTCACTCTTGGATAAGAAAATGGAAATCTCTTCTGCAGAAGGCTTCAGTAATGAGCTGGCTAGTTGTAATGGAACGTATTTCAATAGCTGATGAGAGCATACTTGGAGGAACAGACTATATATTCAAATCTCTAGGTGCCTCCTCGCCCAAAAATATAACCCTTCACTCCATCCAAAAAATTATGAGAGTGATTGAGAGTTCATCATCCTCACCGATCTCCTGTAGTAATGATGTTTCACATATTCCTCTGCCTGAGCTACCAAGTTAGGAAAAAAGTATGAAGCAAATGCAAGATTACTCCATCCCACATTACCAGATACTCCATGCGTCTGTTCCCCTGAAGTGGCATAAAGAAGGTCAGTAGTATTACGTCACTTGTATCTACCTGTAAGCCTTGAGCTACCAAAACAACAGACCAGCTTGGCATCCACAAAACTAATGTAATTCTATTCAGCTATCACAGAGAATACTTACAAAGCATTCTGCTGCATCATCCATAAATCCAAGCTGGAAACGCTGTTCATCCTTAAAACTTTCTGCCAGGGCATGTCTCATATTATCTGATGGGAGTGCTTTTTCTCGACTGTGTTGAAATTGTGAAAATATTGCCTAGGAAGAAATACGGTTACTTAGCTTCATTAGCCATTCGACTAGACACCGTGGTTCTACACAAATACATCAGTTCTTACACAGCATGCTTAAACAGCAAATACATAAAATGTTCATAAATCTATACAACTTTAGAAATTACTGTTTTCTTTTACATAGATACTCTGTTCTGTTACTCATTCCATTATAAGAAGTTATGCTACCAAGCTGAACTTTGATCCAGTAGAAAAACAACATAGAAGTATATAAAAATGCAAATGATTGACTTTAGCTCCCACAAGCAACACAAGCCCTGGTCTGTAATTATGCAGCTTTTTAATTTGGCCACTGAATAGCTGTTCATGCCTACCGTATCTCATCTTTACAGATGGTGTGTATTTCTTAGGGCATAATGTAATAGCACTCAGGTTAGTTTAACACTCGTCATTCATTAAATAATGTAACATTTACATTACTACTTCAGACAGAAGTGTATCTATTAAAATATGTATATGCAAAAACCTCCCATAAATTAGATAGAATGCTGACAATCCTTGCTATTAAAT